GGGGGGGGGGGGGGGGGGTCTGTGACACTGCTGGGACTCAGACCAAGCCTGAGCCAATCACACCTGAAGATGGGAAGGCAGGTGTGAGACAGGCCTGAGGGCTGTGGCTGGACACACAGGCCAGGTGCAGGCTCTCTGGGCCTGTTTCCCCACCAGGGTGAGGGGCAGAGGCTGGAGCACTCAGGACGTGGATCCCCTCCTGCACACCAGACTTCAAAGCCCTCAGAGACACCCCTGGAAAAGGCTCCTGTCTGGGCCCCAGTCCTTCACCTTGCTGGGGTCCCGCTGTGGGCAGGTGTGAGCAGAGCTGGGGTCCCTGGGAGGCTGGTGGACTAGATTCCATGCCTCCCCTGCCAAGGAGGCCTGGAACCACCCCCAGGCAAACTGAAAGGCAACTCCTCCCCTCTTCTGGGGCCTCCCCTAGGAAAATCCAAGACCAGAACGACCAAAAAGGCTGGGGGCTGGGGGCGGGAGGGCGGTCAGGAAGAAAGGGTGGGAATGACACAACGTATCCCTGCAGGGCCAGCTCCCTGCCACCCTAGAAGTAAGTCCTAGGGAGGGGTCCACAGCTGACTAACACCCCAGAGTCAGCACAGCTGGAAACAGCTCCCACACTCACTTCCACAGCCAAAAGACACTGCCCCTAGGGATTCCTCTGAACTCAATTCCTGTCACCAGCAGGGCCCTAGGGTCCCTCAGGGAGCTCCCCCCAGGTGTCAGGCTCCTGGCCTGCCTGTCACCTCACCCGACAGCAGGTTCACAAGATTCCCAGCTCAGGACACCCCACCTCACTCAGGCACCCCCTTGCCACGCTGGACAACATTCACCACCCCCCAAGCTGCCAAGAGGAGTCCCACAGGCAGGGTGCAGCAAATGGCACCAATCATTCCTGGGCAGGAAGGACGTTCCAGAGCAGGCGTGACCCACAGGCATTCCGGGAAGCAGAGTCCGGGGATGCCCAGGTGGCACAGTTTAAACACTGGATTTTTTTTTTTAACTTAACAGAATGTTAATCATTTCATCCAAGGAGATATCCAACACCAGGTGCTGGAGGGGTCCTGGCTCCCACACCCCAGGCTAGTCTGGGTTGGTCCCTACAGACCCCACAAACCTCCAGCCCAGGAACTGGGGTGCTGGGGAAAGCTGTAATGAGGCAGGATATCCCTGGCGAGGCCTCTGTCCCTGTTAACCTCACTGGTCCTTAGAGTCCCTCGGGTTCCAAGCCACTCGGGCTGTGCACTCCCACTCCACAAGCTGGTCAGACCCCGTGAGGACGCCGGGGGTCAGCTATGCCCAGGGAGCCTCCTCCAAACCGGGGAAGGAGCCGTCAGGGCTGAGGACCAGGAGGGCTGGGAGAAACAAAGTTAGGGGAGGGACAAAAGGGGTCCCAGATCCCCAAGGAGCCAGAAGTCTGGGGTCACAGGGATAGGAGAGATCTGGGATCATCTAAAGGGCCAACAAATGCACAAGGTTAAAGGTCACAAAGAGGGACATGTCAAGAGATCAAGAAAAAACGAGTTCAGGGTCACCAGGGAGCTCCAGTGTAACCAAAGAATCTCGGGTCAAGGATCTCCAGAAAAGCAAAGTTCGAGATTAACAAGGAATGAGGCATAGGGATCATCCGAGAAAAGCGCGCGCGGGGCTGGGGGCGGTCGCGGCGAAGGGC